AAATATTAACAGACTGAAATTCCCAGTCAAAAGACATGGACTAGGTGAATGGACTAAGAAACAAAACCAAACTTTTTGTTGTCTGCAAGAAACTCATCTAACTTTCAAGGATAGACACTATCCTAAAGTGAAAGAATAGGAAAAAAATATACCAAGCAAATGATACTAAGAAAAAAGCAGGCATAGCAATTCTAATATCTGACAAAATAGACTTTAAACTAAAACTAATCAGAAGAGATAAAGGGGGCCACTTCATTCTGATCAAAGGAACAATAAATCAAGAAGACATTATGATCATGAACATATATTCACCAAACTCTGTTGCACCCAACTTCATAAAAAAAAATACTACAGGACTTCAAGACCCAAATTAACCCCAACTCATTAACAGTAAGGGACTTCAATACGCCACTATCTCCATTAGATAGGTCAACAGGCCAGAGACTTAACAGAGAGACATCTGAATTAAACAAAACCATATATCAAATGGACTTAAGAGAAATCTACAGAGTATTCCACCCAAGCATCAAAGGACATACTTTCTACACAGCACCCCAAGGAACCGTCTCCAAAATCGACCATATACTAGGGCACAAAACAAACCTTAACAAATACAAAAAGATTGAAATAATTCCATGCATTCTATCAGACCACAATCCAATAAAGCTTACAGTCAACACCAGAAGAAGCACCAATCACCACATGAACACATGTAGATTAAACAACACACTCCTAAGTGACAAATGGGTCAAAAGAGAAATTAAGAAAGAAATAAAAGCATTCCTGTAACTAAAAGAAAAGGATAATAGAGCATAACAAACCCTCTGGGACATGCTGAAAAATTTCCTTACAGGGAAGTTTATAGCTCTAATGCCTACATCAAAAAATCAGAAAGAACACAAATAAATGACTTAACATTGCAAATCAAGACACTTAGAAGAACAACAAATGAAATGCAAACCCAGCAGACAAGAAGAAATAACAAATTTCAGGGCAGAAATTAATGAAATAGAAACAAACAAACAAACAAAAAACAATACAAAGAATCAACGAATCCAAGAGCAGGTTCTTTGAAAAGAAAAACAGGATTGACAGACCACTAACACAGTTAACCAAAAGAAAGAAAGAGCACCTCCAAATCAACAAAATCAGAGATGAAAGGGGAAACATCACAACAGACACCAGAAAGATACAGAACATTATAAAGGAATACTTTAAAAACCTATATGCTACTAAATTTGAAAATCTAAAAGAAATGGAGAGATATCTAAAGGCTTGGGAACCACCAAAACTAAACCAAGAAGAAATTAACAACTTAAAGAAAACAGATAACACAAAAAGAAATTGAAACAGTAATACAAAAGCTCCCGACTTTAAAAAGCCCAGGACCAGATGGATTTACAGCAGAATTCTATCAGACATTTAAAGACGATCTCCATCCAATACTACGTAATTTATTCAATAAGATAGAAACGGAGGGAGAACTTCCAAATTCCTTCTATAAAGCCAGCATCACTCTAATACCAAAGCCAGGTAAAGATACAACCAAAAAAGAAAACTATAGACCGATATCTTTAATGAACACAGATGCAAAAATTCTCAACAAGATACTTGCAAACTGCATACAGACACACATCCAAAAGATCATCCACCGTGATCAAGTCGGCTTTATCCTAGAGATGCAGGGATGGTTCAATATAAGTAAGTCAATAAACGTCATAAATCATACAAATGGGCTCAAAGACAAGAACCACATGGTCATCTCAATGGATTCAGAGAAGGCCTTTGACAAAGTTCAACATGCATTTATGTTCAAAGTCCTAGAGGGAACACACCTCAACATACTTAAAGCCATATATAAGAAACCTACAGCCAACATCATTCTAAATGGAGAAAAACTGGAAGCATTCCCATGGAAATCAGGAACCAGACAAAACTGTTCATTATCTCCACTTCTCTTTAACATTGTGCTTGAAACTCTGGCAAGAGCAATAAGACAAGAGCAGGAAATTAACAAGTAATAATTGGAAAAGAAGAGATCAAATTTTCTCTTTTTGCAGATGATATGATATTATATCTAAGAGATGCCAAAAATTCCACTAGAAAACTCCTAGAAATTATTAACACGTTCAGTAAAGTGGCAGGGGTCGGGAGCCGTAGGCCCCTACCCCAGGAAATAGCAAGACCTGATTCCTGGCAAAGCTGTTTTTCA